CTCCTGTCTGCCCACCGCATACACCTCTCCCTTCAGCTCAAACATGGAGTTCAGCCGTACATTTGGGACAGACATGTGTCTCCACTTACGATTGGTTTCACTCAATAGAAACCAATAGATTTGTTGCCAATTCTTCGTGGCATATATGAGCTCATGCCTAGTGGACAGATAGGCGCACCGACCCATATCCCTATACCATTCATTTGGTATAATTTCAGACTTTTCTTGATCATTGTAATACCAGGGTAAGTCTGCGTCGGGCACCGGTCGACCATTTCGTTGGAATTCATGCTTTCGGGATCCATTTGGATATCTGGTCACCAGAATCTGGAGGCCAATGGACTTATCGTTATTCAGACATTGATTCTTTGTCTCAGCCGTTCCCCTACACTTTGGGATCACTTTAATGCCACAGCCGGACACGTAATCATCTATTAGTGCACAGAATATGTCATTAAATTATATAATGATATGAATTAATACTTTTTTGCAAAACTTTTGGTAAATCAGTAAAACTGATGCCAAAGAGATCGTCATTGAACACAACGCTCTGTCCATTGGTTTTAATGAGGATTCCGTTGGGATAGAAGTCTTTGTCAATGAAATTGAAGATATAGTCCGCGGTTCCAGAGCTACAGAATTGTTGTCCACGGATTGGGATATGGATTGAGAGAACTTCCGTTTGTAACAAAATAGTGATCATTACAAGAATACTGGTCATCTTATTAAATGAATTCATTTCTTAGATTATAAAACTTTTTTGCAAAATAAGTTACTTTATAATAAGTTATATTGAATATATGCAGAGTAATACAGTACACAGAATATTTAAATATTAATCACGAGCACTACTGTACTGAAATACATTTTAAAAAATTAATGAACAAATATTAGCATAACTTTAGTTTACGACTAGGATATGGTTAGGATATCGGTTATAATTGAAAATAATCTAATATAACACGAAATATAACTCGGAAAATTTTACTATTAAACAAATGCAAAATAAAATATAAAAGTAGAATTCAGTAATTCATAAATATATTTAAATATCTTTTAAACAACATTGTCTCCTATATAGGCACTGATATATGAGAAATATCACAAATAATAGAGAAATCATCATGATGAGTCCGTCCAAAAAGTTAATCAAATACTTGTTGAAATTAATCGGTTCCTGAGGAATGGATTTGCAATTGAATAATGAGAACAAAGTTTGATCCGACTATAGATTTCCCCATAAATCACACAAAACATAAGATTTGAATAACTTCTCATAAAAACCACAAATACATTACCATTGGCTGTAAAACCCTTTTGTTAGAATCATTTGAATCGACAGAAAACTTAAATATAGTATTGGATTGTTGAGTGACCTGTTTGCCCAACACATACAGTTCCCCTTTGAGCTCAAACATGGAGTTCAGCCGTATATCCGGGACATCCATTTGTTTCCATTTGGGACCAACTGTGGTGTCATTCATAAAAACCCAATAGATTTGTTGCGATTTGTTTGTGGCATATATGAGCTCAAATCTAGTGGACAGGAAGGCGCACTGACCCAGGTCATCATACCATTGACGTGAAATAAATGCAACCTTTCGTCCATCGTTCACATGAAAGGGTAGGTCTGCATCGGCCACGGGTTTCATATGTCGTTCAAATACAAGACTTCGCGATCCTTTTGAATCTGATGTCACAAGAATCTGGAGACCAATTGCCTTATCGTTATTCCTGCAAACATATTCACCACTTCCCTTACATTTAGGGATCACTTTAATGCCACACCCGGACACGTAATCATCTATTAGTGCACAGAATATGTCATTACATTATACAATGTATGATATGAATGCATACTTTTTTGCAAAAGTTTTGGCAAATCAGTAAAACTGGTGTCAAAGAGATCGTCATTGAATACAACGCTCTGTCCATTGGTTTTAATGAGGATTCCGTTGGGATAGAAGTCTTTGTCAATGAAATTGAAGATATAGTCAGCTGTTCCTGAGCTACAGAATTGCTGTCCACTGGAATCGGTTGATATAAATGTGGTTTGTATTAAAACAGTAATAATTACAACATTAATTACAAGAATATTGCTCATCGTATTACTTGAATTCATATCTCAATTAATGAAACAATTGTCATGAATAACAGTTTTTTAAATTCAATATTAATCGCGAGTAATACTGTAGTACTTTATTCATTAAAAGTTTTTACATATAAAATTATCTAATTTTTTTTATTTAATGTTATAAAATATAAGTTTAAAAAATTAATAAAATTTATAATAAAAGTCTATTTCCGATGTACTCTCATATGCTTATTAAGATTACCACTCAATGTGCACCGGTATGTACAGCCCGGCCACACACAGGCATACGGTTTGACTTTCAAATGCATATTTCTGTGTTGATTTAGTTTGGTTTGAGTGATAAACCGTTTGCCACAATCAGGCCATTCGCACACAAATGGTCGCACATTCGTGTGACAGGCGTTTACATGTAGTTTCAAACGGTCATTATCTCGGGTACTATACGAACAGCCCGGCCAACAGCAGCCATGCATTGTAGGTTTTAACCCATGGACTAACTCTCGGTGTTTCTTAACGTGATATACCTTGCGAAACATTTGACTACAGCCCTCATAAGGACAGGGATATGTCGGTGCACTGGTATGTTGAGTGCGCTTATGTTCAGTGAATCCACTAAAATCTTTATAAGCTTTGGGGCACTGATCGCACTGATAGGGAAGGGTATTGTTATGGATGTCCTTATAATGATTGTCCAGATCTTTCCGGAATAAACACCCGAAATGACAGTCACTATAAAAACAATTAAATTTAATTTTGATGTTTGGGTCATATTTAGTGAGATGTCTGTGAATATCATTCCGATTCTTATAAGTGTTGTTGCAATCAGTTTGCGGACATTTGTATCGATTAGTCTTCACATCAAATGTGTTTCCAAATGAGTGGATATACCGTTTAGTCACACAATTACGGGATTTGTTTCTCTGGATGTCTTTATCATCACTCCGTTCATTGGACTCATGAGTTTGTGGACCAGTGTTTAACTTATCTTTGATAACATCTCTTAAATGAATGAATTTTCTTTTGGCATTAGTTTCGTTACATTTGTTGTCATCAATGGTCGCATCGGTTAAGTCTTTACTAATTGTTGGCCTTTGGATCAAATGTTGAGATCCGTCTTCTAATGTCTTATCAATTGTCTCAACACTTGTTTCCAATCTCTTCCATATCTTCAACATGTGATCAGTGAAAAGACATCCCTTAACAGATCTTTCCCTCAATTGTCTTCTTTGGACATCTGGTTCTTCGTATGCTTTAGTGGAGTCATCGACGGTGTCATCATTTGTGGTAACTTCAGGAGGAAGTGTTGTTTGTCTTGGGATGAGATGAATGTCTCGTATTTCACGTGAATATCAATTAAATGTCTTTTCAATTGGTTTGCAATCAATAACTCATTCATTAGTCTCTGGTTTTCAGCCATCAGTTCATCCAAAACATCGTGGATTGCAATCATTGTCTCACTTGTCATCACTTCCAGCACTTCCAGTGTCTGTAAAAGTGGACACAATTTGGTGTCAAATGTGTTGACAAACAGTGACTCACTTTAGGGACTGTTATGTCATTGCATTCATTGTACTGACTGTCAGTCTATTTGTAAACAAATTGTGTTTACATTTGACACCAATTTGTGTCCACTTTTACAGACACTGGAAGTGCTGGAAGTGATGACAAGTGAGACAATGATTGCAATCCACGATGTTTTGGATGAACTGATGGCTGAAAACCAGAGACTAATGAATGAGTTATTGATTGCAAACCAATTGAAAAGACATTTAATTGATATTCACGTGAAATACGAGACATTCATCTCATCCCAAGACAAACAACACTTCCAGCAGCTGTTGACAACACTTCCTCCAGAATTTACCACAATTGATGACACCATTGATAAGGACATCAAACCACGTGTTGGAAGAAATGTCCAAAGAAGACAACTGAAGGGAAGACTTCCTAAGAAATGTGTGAAACGTAAGGAACCGATTGCCACAAGACGTGAATTCAATGGTGAAGACATCAATGAAGTGATCCATAGATTGCGACAAAAGTATGTGAACCGAGAGTACGGAAGGGATAGTGAGACCAAACGATTCAATTGTCCCACAAATGGTTGCATCAGAAGCTATGAACACGTGAGGGACGTCTTCCGACACATCAGATCCGGTGTCCATAAGTTCGGACCAATTGATGGACAGTCGGGTCCAGACTCTGTGGAGTGTCCGCACTGGGAGTGCGAGGGGAAGCGCTTCCGCAACAAGTATTTGCTTCACTACCACACGAAGTGTGTCCACAAACCGGGCAAAAGATATTTGTGTCGATTCCTGGGCTGCGGACAGACATTCAGGACACGAGTCGAGTGGATATCTCACAGGGAGTGCCACAAGAATGAGAAGCGCTTCCACTGCCCGCACAGTGGGTGTGGCTATGAATGTAAGGACAGAAACCGGCTTAAAGTGCACGAGGAGTGCGTTCACCTCAACCTCAGAAACTACAGGTGCGATGAGTGCGGAAAGCACTTCAAGGCGATGGGCACTCTCATAGACCACCGGCGCTCAGAGCACAGCCGTGAGCCCACGTTCCGGTGCCCTATCGCTGGGTGCGATCAGCTGTTCCAACGCAGGGTTGACATCAGGCGGCATAGAGTGTCGGCGCATGGATATGAGCCACAGATGCAGTCGTGCAGTTGGCCGGGCTGTACGTATCAACACAAGCGCGTCAATATGATCACCAGACATGTCCAGAGGAATCATAACGACTACCGGCCCCACGTGTGCGAGTGGCCAGAGTGTGCCAAACGGTTCACCGATAAGGTATCCGAGGCCCTAGTGCACTTATGCGTATACTTCTAGTTTGGCGTGCGGACACACACCGGGCCCACATGTATGGCCACGTGAGACTTCCCATTAGACTTATTTGTATACTCTCAAGTAGTCTTTAGCGATGTATTGACCGCAAAGGAGTTTATTATAACTAATGTATAAAATTGATAATATTTATTGCAATGAGAAATAAATTGTAATTTTGTTTCATTACTGTTATCTGAATGAAATTCATCTGCGGTTACCGTACAGTCAGTGCAGTACTATTTGCGATGACAGAGACATCTCGTGTCGAGACAATTGCTGCCAAAACTGAACGCAAATGTGTTTTCATAGCGTTTGACAACAAATCGCGGATTAATTGCCATTTGAGTCCATTTGTGCATCAAATCAGACACATCTCAAGACATTGACAATGGAGACAATGTTGGAACAGCAGAGGAGATACCACGAGGAGAGGGAACGGCTGGAGGAGGCGATGGTTAAGGAGAATATGACCAAAAAGAGTTCCGTAAGTGATCTCACCATCGATGAGACAATAGTTACCACTGTTTGTCATTACTAACACCACCTCTCATTATGTCCACCAGAATAGGGATCAAATCAACTCCGACCACAGGCTGAAGATACTGCTGGACGTAAGTGACACTCAACTTATCCACTCATTAACTGATCCCCTAATTGGTGTCCAAATGTGATGTCTTCATATATCTAGCGCTACACTGAATGTTGCCTTTTGGAAGACCTCTAGATACTCCTATTTCTGCCGCGGGCTTTCCGGCTTCACCTGCGGTACAGGCCTGGGTTGCTCAAGAGCCTCAAGATGAGCGCCGAGTTCTTATAGTTTCTCAAAATGGGCAAACATCCCAATGAGATCAGTGTCCCGATGGCTGTCGAGTTCGACGAGTTCTTCAAGATCCGCGACAATCCCAATGAGATAAATCTGGTCGACTTCACCGATGAGGAAGGCTATGGCAAGTTCTTGGATCTGAACCACTGCTTCGAGAAGTACCTGAACCTGAAAAGCGTCGACAGAATCGACTATTTGTCGTATTTATCGCTTTTCGATCAACTCTTCGATGTGCCGAAGGATCGCAAACTGAACGCCGATTACGTGCGCTATTTGGAGACACTCTTGGACTACCTCCAGGACTACTGTTCCCGCGTTAAGCCCTTGCTATCGCTGCCAACCGTAAGTCAATTTGGCACTCATTTCCATTCATTAATAAAAGCCATAATTTGTGTCCATTTGACAGATAATGGAGAAAGTGTTGGTCGACTTTGAGAAGCAGTGGGAGTCGGGATCGTTCCCGGGGTGGCCGGTAAGGCATTGCCATAACTTGTACTGTACTTAATATATACTGTATAATGAACTCATTGTACGCACAGAAAGAGGCGGGGAGTGCACTGACCCACGCGGGCGCCCACTTGGATCTGTCGGCGTTCACATCTGTCGAGGAGTTGGCGTCACTCGGATTGGATCGCCTGAAGTCGGCGCTCATCGCACTGGGACTCAAGTGCGGCGGCACTCTCGAGGAGAGGGCACACCGTTTGTGGCACACGAAAGGCAAGTCACATCGGTCGAGGAGTTGGCGTCACTCGGATTGGATCGCCTGAAGTCGGCGCTCATCGCACTGGGACTCAAGTGCGGCGGCACTCTCGAGGAGAGGGCACACCGTTTGTGGCACACGAAAGGCAAGTCCGCCGACGAAATCGATCCGACGTTCTTCGCGAAGACATCGAAACGCGGAAAAGCGGGCAAAACGAAGGACACGGAGCGTCAGAAGGAGACGGCGATACTCGAGGCACAGGTGTATAAGTTGTCGGAAATCCTGTCCGAACAGAGACAGGCGACCAAAGAGAACGTACAGCGCAAACAGGCGCGCACTGCCGGCGAGCGCCAAGAGTCCGATGAGGAGGTGTCGGAGTCCGAGTCGGAGGAGGAAACCGAGACTGACGTGATCTACAACCCGAAGAACCTGCCGCTCGGTTGGGACGGCAAACCCATACCCTATTGGTTGTACAAACTGCACGGCCTGAACATCACGTACACGTGCGAGATATGCGGTAACGCCACGTATAAGGGCCCGAAGGCCTTCCAGCGGCACTTCGCGGAGTGGCGTCACGCGCACGGCATGCGGTGTCTCGGCATACCTAATACGGCGCACTTCGCTAATGTCACCCAAATAGAGGACGCGCTGGCGCTCTGGCAACGGCTCAAAGAGGAGAAGCATAAGGAGAAGTTCCAGCCCAGCAATGAAGAGGAATACGAGGACACGCAGGGGAATGTCGTCAATAAGAAGACCTACGAAGACCTCAAGAGACAGGGACTCCTATGAGCTGCCATTCCTATCATTTTTAAACATGGATTTCTAATTAACTTTTTAAATGATTTTCTGGTATACCCTCCGCTCGACATTCAAATATAAGTAAATTTATGTGTATTTCTCATTGATAATCAATTTTAGTATTAAAAGCATTACATAATTACGGTATAAAAATACAAAATACTTGTAGTTTTGTAAATAAAATTTTGTGTAAAATACGAGATTCATTAATTGACTTTTCTAATGGCATTCATTAGTCATTTAAGTCCAGATATCCTGAAGGTATCGCTTCTCTGATTGCAATTCACGCACATATTTGACAGCATTTTCGCGGCTCTGTTTGCCAGCCGTCTCCACAACACTGACCAATGCGTTGAACACATCAGTGGCCATACCTTTCAAATCGCCGCAAACGTAAACGATGGCTTTCCTCACATCAATGAGTCTATAGAGGGCTGTCGAGTGGTTTTGGATCAGGTTTTGTACATATTTAGGAGACTTTTCATCCACTGATTCCCGCGAAAAGCAAACATACAATTGGGTCAACACTTTGTCGCTCTGGTATTGCTTTAACTCGCGCTCATAGATGTAGTCCCGGCGCGAGTGTCGGCACCCGTAGAATAGCCAACACTCGCCGGCCGGCACTGTCGACCGTTTTGACACGAGTTGGCGCTGTCCTAGAAATCCTACGAACGGCGCCACACCAGTGCCCGCGCCCACCATCACTATAGGGATCGACACATTGGACGGCAGTTTGAAGTATGGATTCTTGCGTTTAAACGCTTTAAAGCTCTTCATATTGGACTCGAGACTTAATTTGGCTAAACATTGGTCGACACTATCTCCCTGTGCCGACACCTCATGTCTTAATAGTCTGAATAGAGTTCCCGTAAACACACCAAACAGTTGAGTATCTTTTCTGAGTAGTGTCTCCTCGAAAGTGGTCACAGAAAAGGCTATTTTGAATTGATTTCGGTTGAGAGGGTCGGGTGCGTTACACACACTGTAATATCGGGGCGCAAAGCACGGGCTGTTGGCCACCAACACGTCCAGAGGGGGTCGACAAGAGTCAAACACTTGCAGGATATCCAAAATGCCGGCGAATTGGTTGCGTACGACTCGGTTGTAGTCTTCGCCGCCTTCGCGACTACTCAGCTCCAGAAGGCGTCGCTTTTGGGACGGATTGTCACAAAAGTCGGCCAAATGTCTGAGACATGACTTCTTGGGAACCGATCGCAGCTCTAAATAGTATTTAATCAAATCATAAACTTTGCATATTTTGGGCAAATGTGGGAACACTTCGGGTGTCAAGACTTCGCAATAAAAGTCTCGTTTGCCTGAGAGATCCAAAGAGTGCAACACTTGATTGACTTCTTCGTCATAATTGCCGACAATAACACCGAAAGAATCGCCCGCTTCGTGGCCAACACTACACCCGCCCTCCCCTTCGCTCTCTATTCTCATTGTGGCCTCAATTATGGTCTTAGCGTCACAACGACTATCAGTCTCGTCATTATCGGCCACAGAATCGGTGGACAGTTGTCTCAATTCCACTAAAGTCGCGTCAAATACCTTTGAGTCCATAACCGGAAGCGTTTGAAAGTAAAACTCTTTGGGCAGACATTTGTCTACATATTCTTCGGGAAGCGTTTCGTGGAGTTTCAGTTGAAATGATTTAAATTTACTCGGAATCAATGGCAAATTCAATTGATCCAATTGTGACAAACGCTCGTCCGTTGTCTGCATTAGTAGACAGTTATCTTTGGCACTCATTTCTCGTTCAACTGGTGTCAAGAGTTTGACGTCAACTATGGGTACGTTTAGCGAGGAATAGGCGTTGAAATGGTTGAGTACAGCGGTAAAGAGGTTCTCAATCCAGGGCTCGACCCCTAACTCGAGTCCGACGGCGTCGTCGCCGAAACCCGTGTCGTAAAACTTCTTCGCCGACAACTCCTGAAGTCGTTTATCTGAAGATTAAAACACAAAACGTGTCAACAATTTACTTAACAACTTAACGATCAAACTAATCCACTATGTCGTCACTGAATAGACAATACAGTGATCACCGCTATGTCCACAGAAATCAGATGGAAATAGATTTCCGACTCAAGAGATTTGAAAACAATTTTATAATAAAGTGATTCAATGAAAGTCATGGACAGCAATGAGACCTAAATCTTTGCCAAAGTTGGCGAATCGCTCGTAGTTGGTGTCACCCAATGCCAGCAAACAGTACCGCAGATGAGATAATAAACTCTTGGGAAGCGCACGCTTGCGGTACTTGCGGTAAAACTTAAGGGCGTTTTGCGGGGGTTCGCCCTCACCGGTGGTCGACACCACAAACACCACTGTCTGTTCAGTCTCAAGGCTGTATTGGTCGCCAATGGTGTCCAGACACAGTCGCTCCACAGATATGTTGAAGTTGTCGGTCAGCACTTCCAGGTGATGGTCGCACTGGTCGTGGATCTGTTGGGATATGGCCTCAGACTGACCCGTCTCTGAGCCGTATAATATCAATACACGTCTTCGCACTGATTGGTCGTCCATCAAGCACTTCACCCACACTCTAGTGATGGCCACAAATGTCTGCGACTATCAGTTGATCCGTTCAAGTGATCACAAGATGTGATAATAAAAAGTTTATTGACTTTTACTGTCGGATAAAAACACAAACACATGCACTGCATAGGCATTGCAGTGATGGCCACAAATGTCTGCGACTATCAGTTGATCCGTTCAAGTGATCACAAGATGTGATAATAAAAAGTTTATTGACTTTTACTGTCGGATAAAAACACAAACACATGCACTGCATAGGCATTGCTATTCGTGCCCATATTATACGACAACTCAATGTTATAATGATATATAAAAGTATTGAAACGTCGGACGATAGCTATCATTGCAATATTGCGTCAGATTTTGTTTGAATTTCAAACTTTGAAACAAAACTTTTTTTCAAAGTTTAAGTTTTATTAACGTTTTGTTTCGTATGACTAAACATTTTTTTGTGGCAAAATTATTGCATATTGTGGCAAATTGTGTTACTGTTATAATAGTTTTCATTTTAAACATTAAAACGATTTTACAAATTGAGAGAAAAATATTATTTTTATAACTCTATAACTCATTTGACAGTCATTTTCATAGCAATCAACCGGTCATTGAATGACTGAAACGAAAGGTCATTCAATACGTAATCTTACGGACAAACTGTGATAAAAACGCTTTAAAAGTTATGCAGTAATACCTTTACCTTAAAATACATTCAACACTTAATATTAAGCATAAAACAAATGAATTACACAATTAATTAAATCAATAGCAAAATCTGAACCAATATTAAGCACAGTATACGTGAGACTACTGTAAGATTTGCACAATTCATAGGGAAAAGTGAGTCAAAGTTTTATCAAATTATAGACTTTTATCACAAAGAGTTGAATGAATTGTTTGAATGAATGCACGCTTTCTGTGAATCACATGAAACTGACAACACGTGCGAAGATGAACGGGTACTACAGACAGGACAGCCCCTACAGACACGAGAGCCCCTACACCAGGACATCACCATATCGTGTGACGCCATACAACGGCCACCCGAGGGCTCACATCCGCGACGTCTGGAACCACAACCTCATCGACGAGTTCAAGACAATCAACCGTTTGGTGGCCGACTATCCGTACGTATCGCTGGACACGGAGTTCCCGGGGGTGTTGCAGACCCGACCCACGGGTCCCAATGGGGGCGTCTATTACGACCAAAAGGAGTTCGACTACCAGACCGTCCGGTGCAACGTGGATGAGCTGCAGGTGATCCAAGTGGGCCTCACGCTCATGGATGGCTACGGGCGCACGCCCTACGACCGGGTGGGTGTGAGCACCTGGCAGTTCAACTTCCGGTTCAACCTGAATGTGGACAAACACTCGGCCGACTCCATACACCTACTGATGAGCAGTGAACTCAATTTCCAACGCCTGGCCACCGAAGGCATCGTATCCCAAGACTTCGCCGAACAACTCATGGCCTCGGGTCTGGTGCTGAACGACAAGTGCGAGTGGATCTCCTTTCACGGCGCCTACGACTTCGGTTATCTCATTAAGATCTTGACGGACGCACCGCTGCCCCCAATGCTCCGGGCGTTTCACGAGTTGCTCAGGATTTACTTTCCCGTCATTTTCGATGTCAAACTCATTCTCAACGCATTTAATGGACACACAGGAGGTCTGCAAGAGGTAAGCATTGGTGGCCAACCATTGATATGATATAACAGTACTCTAATTAACCCCTATATGTGTTTAGGAGGCCCAGAACCTGGGTCTCAGACGCTTTGGTCGACCCCATCAGGCGGGAAGTGATAGTCTACTGACGGGACAGTTATTCTTCCGAGTGTTAGACGCCTATCCATACCAATCGCAAGACATCGACAGATTTGTCGGAAATATCTTCAAATTCAGTGACGTTTTTATATGCAATTAAATACTGACTAAATATTTCATTAAATGACTTATATTTCATTACTTTTAATGACTATTACCTGTGTTTGTAATTGTAGTCATATTTTGTATGAATTAATCAAAATGCTTGTCAAATTGAATCTATTTTTTTTGCAAAATCATTTTATTAAATTGAATATTTAGTTGTGTATTAATCAGATTAAATGAATTTATAAATTGTAAATTATGTGAATAAAATTTAATATTCAATAAATTATTCTGTAATATTTATTATATTCCGGTTAATATAAATTATGTAATATCGTGATTTATCAGTGATAATTTTTAACAACTAAATTATCTAAATGTTAGATAAATACGATAGGATTGTAAAGACTGAACATTTTAATGCTTAACTGAAAATCAACATAAAAAAACTTTAAGAATATTCTGTATTATCTGTTTTTTATATAAAAATCTTAATTAACTTTAAATTAGTTTTTCAATTAGTATTTTTCGCACCAGTATTTCGTCTAAACTTTTAATGACGCGATTGTGACTTACAGGCGGGAAGTGATAGTCTACTGACGGGACAGTTATTCTTCCGAGTGTTAGACGCCTATCCATACCAATCGCAAGACATCGACAGATTTGTCGGAAATATCTTCAAATTCAGTGACGTTTTTATATACAATTAAATACTAACTAAATATTTCATTAAATGACTTATATTTCATTACTTTTAATGACTATTACCTGTGTTTGTAATTGTAGTCATATTTTGTATGAATTAATCAAAATGTTTGTCAAATTGAATCTATTTTTTGCAAAATCATTTTATTAAATTTAATATTTAGTTGTGTATTAATCAGATTAAATGAATTTATAAATTGTAAATTATGTGAATAAAATTTAATATTCAATAAATTATTCTGTAATATTTATTATATTCCGGTTAATATAAATGATATAATATCGTGATTTATCAGTGATAATTTTTAACAACTAAATTATCTAAATGTTAGATAAATACGATATGATTGTAAAGACTGAACATTTTGGTGCTTAACTGAAAATCAACATAAAAACAACTTTAAGAATATTCTGTATTATCTGTTTTTTATATAAAAATCTTAATTAACTTTAAATTAGTTTTTCAATTAGTATTTTTCGCACCAGTATTTCGTCTAAACTTTTAATGACGCGATTGTGACTTAAAAAATCATTAAAATATATCCCGGAATCTATAGTGCACTGGTATGCGAGGGCTAAGACTCGCGCATATCGTAGAGTGGCTGAGGAATGGGAGGGAAGGACTCATAGGCTGCCACTACGAGTGTGTGTCGGTTGGACTTAAGCTGGTCTATGGCACAGACACTCAAAACGGATGCATTGCTACGATTGAGTCGCTATTGTATTTGCATCGCACCGGCAGCTCATTGTCTCATTGTATTTGTGATGAAACTTTTTGCAGTCACTTATAATTACTAGTCTTACGACTCATTCAAGTATTGATCATTGATTGCAAACATTGACTATTGTTTTGTTGTATTTGAAATTGTTTGACTTTCAAATTCTGTGTATAACTAAAACTTTAATGTAAATAAACTTTAAGTTTGTTTTAATGAATTCTTATGCCTTTAGTTTAACAGAAATTGCAATGAAATAACTTTTTAAATGTATTATTTGGATTTTCGTTGATGTAATAACTTTTAAATCGTAAGTTATATGAATTGAATGTCAAATGCCTATTAATATAATTTGTATTTTGTTACTTTGATGATAGAAAGTAACACTGAATGCATTTACTGGGTCCTAACCACCACTGGATTGCCTTAACACTAGACTGTATACTAGTAATTGTAATTCATTTGGCCGGTTATGTAGTGGCCGATTGGGACTCGTGGTGGACATATGAGGGCATATCGGGTCAGTTCACACACTTCTTATTCTCCTATTAATTAACTTTGAATTAATTGTAATTAAATTCATAAAAAATACATTAAATAATAACATTTGCTTTACAAATTCTTTAAAACCAAAATATAATTCTAATATAATATACATACCGTTTACAGTACATGTAATTTTTCAATTTATTATATTAATGAAACTATTCCACTTAAATTAATTATAATACTTGGTACAATAAATATCTATTTTAATAACTACGAAAATACATTTTTCCATTTATCTGATTATTTAAAAATAAATGTCATTTAATAAAATATTTCTATTATGTGATATAATAATATATCTAATTCACTGCATTCATATTTTGGCCACTTATGCACGTATTGGTGATGACATGTATTGTATTTAACTTATTACTGATTTCAAGAATATTTTTTATGTTTCTTTCAATTTGTATTTGAATAAGGATTTTGAAGTGCATGTAAGATATGTGCCTAAAAACCTGAGTTTATATTTTACAGGCTTATTAATAGTTTATACAGTTGTACGGTATATAAGTTTTTATACCAGAATTTGTTAGGAAAATTTTAAAATCCTAATTATAAAAGTATTTTTTAATTGAAAACTAATAGTTACAGTCAACTAAAATATAAAACATAATTAGATAAACTGTAAAATCTGGAAAATTCGTATGCCTGGTGATTTATCTTACAGTGCAATGCATTAGTGAATAAAGATTGCTAATCTGATAGCAATATTCAGTGCATTCTATATTTTGTTAGTTTTGATATTTTGCTCATAAGTTACTATATTTTTATTGTAAAGTAATGTAAATAATGTTAAAAAAGAGTTTCTGGAAAACTTCAAGTCAAAGAATATTGAAATGAATTTGCATTTAATCTATTTTATAAACACTTATTAGATATAAAGTACAATTTTGAACAAATAGTCGGAAGCTTTTTCCATTCAAAATAAGTTAATATGATTTTAAAGTAATGTTTATTGAATAATATAGTTAAGTGAAGTCGGCAAAATTGAATAGATTTTTATATTGATATTATGATGGCTATAAATTTTGATTATATTCTTTACATAGAATCCTGATTACTGATTACCAGTATAGTTTATTTAAAGTACAATCAATTATTTATTTGTTACACAACATAAAAAACTAATCAAAAACTATATTGTTTATTTATCCTCATATATAATATTTAATATTTAATATACAATCTACATATAATTTGTTAAAAATATATTTTAATATACAGAAATTGTATCTGGATGTTAACTATAGGACTATTACATTGATTATATTCTTTAAAACCAATAGAAACTCGTATTTTATTTTATTTTCAAACCCTATTATTTTGAATGTAAAAATAATTGATAATAGGTTAAGTGAGAATTCTTAAAAATGATCTATACTAGTAATGGTTAAACAAGAAAATCATATTTTATTTGTTATATTTAAGTATTTGGAAAAGTTTCTAAAACAAGACTTTACAACACTTGAACTGCAAATAAACTATACAAACAATTTGCTGACACATCTGTATTGAAAAGAGAGAGAGAGAGAGAGAGAGAGAGAGAGAGAGAGAGAGAGAGATTTGAAAATAATAGTGTTTCGCAAACATTTTATCGGAAAAATTGATATATTTATGACATTTTGTGCATTTTTATATTTAAAGAAATATACTTTAATCGGTTTGGCGTATATTATATTCAAATTTGTTTTTCAGTGTATAGCTATAAAAACTTTAAAAACTACCATTTGATTGATTATTTAATTCAGTGGATAATTGCATAAGAATTTATAGCAATAAAATATTATTAGCTCAATCTTTTTTGCCAAATAGGGGTACATAATAGCCAGTGTGTTATCTATGGTATGATTGTGTATAATATGAAAGGTTATAATTTACAATAACTGACAAAATAATATAAAGAAAATATAATAAAAAACTACAAAATAATAAATCTCTAAAAGAAAGGTCTCTTTATTTTTTGTGTAGTGCTCTCACAAACGCATTATTTTTTTACCACCAGTTTAAGCGAGGCAACATATGAGCAGGGTATTTTTTCTGTATATTANAGTTTTTTATTATATTTTCTTTATATTATTTTGTCAGTTATTGTAAATTATAACCTTTCATATTATACACAATCATACCATAGATAACACACTGGCTATTATGTACCCCTATTTGGCAAAAAAGATTGAGCTAATAATATTTTATTGCTATAAATTCTTATGCAATTATCCACTGAATTAAATAATCAATCAAATGGTAGTTTTTAAAGTTTTTATAGCTATACACTGAAAAACAAATTTGAATATAATATACGCCAAACCGATTAAAGTATATTTCTTTAAATATAAAAATGCACAAAATGTCATAAATATATCAATTTTTCCGATAAAATGTTTGCGAAACACTATTATTTTCAAATCTCTCTCTCTCTCTCTCTCTCTCTCTCTCTCTCTCTCTCTCTCTTTTCAATACAGATGTGTCAGCAAATTGTTTGTATAGTTTATTTGCAGTTCAAGTGTTGTAAAGTCTTGTTTTAGAAACTTTTCCAAATACTTAAATATAACAAATAAAATATGATTTTCTTGTTTAACCATTACTAGTATAGATCATTTTTAAGAATTCTCACTTAACCTATTATCAATTATTTTTACATTCAAAATAATAGGGTTTGAAAATAAAATAAAATACGAGTTTCTATTGGTTTTAAAGAATATAATCAATGTAATAGTCCTATAGTTAACATCCAGATACAATTTCTGTATATTAAAATATATTTTTAACAAATTATATGTAGATTGTATATTAAATATTAAATATTATATATGAGGATAAATAAACAATATAGTTTTTGATTAGTTTTTTATGTTGTGTAACAAATAAATAATTGATTGTACTTTAAATAAACTATACTGGTAATCAGTAATCAGGATTCTATGTAAAGAATATAATCAAAATTTATAGCCATCATAATATCAATATAAAAATCTATTCAATTTTGCCGACTTCACTTAACTATATTATTCAATAAACATTACTTTAAAATCATATTAACTTATTTTGAATGGAAAAAGCTTCCGACTATTTGTTCAAAATTGTACTTTATATCTAATAAGTGTTTATAAAATAGATTAAATGCAAATTCATTTCAATATTCTTTGACTTGAAGTTTTCCAGAAACTCTTTTTTAACATTATTTACATTACTTTACAATAAAAATATAGTAACTTATGAGCAAAATATCAAAACTAACAAAATATAGAAAGTAAAATGCACTGAATATTGCTATCAGATTAGCAATCTTTAATCACTAATGCATCACTGTAAGATAAATCATCAGGCATACGAATTTTCCAGATTTTACAGTTTATCTAATTATGTCTTATATTTTAGTTGACTGTAACTATTAGTTTTCAATTAAAAAATACTTTTATAATTAGGATTTTAAAAATTTTCCTAACAAATTCTGGTATAAAAACTTATATACCGTACAACTGTATAAACTATCAATAAGCCTGTAAAATATAAACTCAGGTTTTTAGGCACATATCTTACATGCACTTCAAAATCCTTATTCAAATACAAATTCAAAGAAACATAAAAAATATTCTTGAAATCAGTAATAAGTTAAATACAATACATGTCATCACCAATACGTGCATAAGTGGCCAAAATATGAATGCAGTGAATTAGATATATTATTATATCACATAATA